CTCTCTGATAGGAAAGTAGGACCCACAATTACAAGAAAAAGGAAAAGCTTTACCTTCACTGGCAGTAGCTCAAAAAGACTTTTAAGTTTGTATAGCACACATCCTACTTGGAGCCATCAGGTGGGAAAAGCTGTGATGAATCACATAGAATTGCAGGAGCTACTCTTGCAGCAAGATGAAATACAAACTGTCAGAAATTCCACATGGCAAACAGCAGTCATCCTGATCTTCCCCTCATGACTAACATTGGTGCATTTATTTTGTGACAGCATAGCTGTGTTCTGCTCAGCTGTTAACAATAGCTTTGTAAGCAAGTGTTGCAGGGCCTTATGGCTTTTTGATATGCCTATGTAGCTGCTTTTCTTTCCATTTCCCCTACTATGTGCCAGGTTACAGAAACACTTCCAAGCAGCAAATTCAGAAATAGAAAGAGTTCAAGGCCAGGTTTCACACCTGCAACCTTGTAGTTCTGGGCTGTTTCAGCCCTGAAGACCAGTCTCATTGTGAAGTCCAAGGCTTCCTCTAACATACAGGTTTTCTGTTCAGTAATTCCAAATAAAGTTTATGATTTTTTACTTGTGTTTGGGATGGTGGGGGGGGGGGGGGGGGGGAAGTGTAGGGAGAGGGAATATTGCTATGTAGCCATTACACGTATCACATTTTATTCTGATAAAGTAATTTAATTGAATGACACAGTAATTCATGGAAATTAATTTATCACCCAAATTAAGACACTGTCTCACTCCAATCCCCAAAAAAAAATCAAGACCAGCAACTTCTATTCAACACTAACATACCATTCATAACTGTGTCCTGAAATACTTCAAAGGGCAATATAAGTTAGCAAAAAGTTTTGAAGGGTTAAGTAGCAGTTCTAATTTCTATTTCTTTTCAAATTCTGCAGAAGTATCTGTTTTCTAAATCACTATAAATATAGTATTTAATTTACAGCAGCAGCAGGCTATCAAAAACACCCCATATGATTCCAGAGCGGGGGGATAGGACACAAATGCCCTAAAAAAAGAACAGTGCAGCCTACCTTTGACACTAATGTGCTATGTCCAGATATGTGCCAAGGAGAAATTTTGGCACCTAGAGAGTATTCAAAGAGAATAAGGCACCAGCAGCCCTGTGGTTTAAGATGTATATTCAGATTTGTTTAGAAAAGAAGTTGTTCTGTCGTTGGACAAAGTGCCACGCATGACCCATTTCTTGACTCCAGGTGTGACTTATGCAACTTGTGCTGATTCTCTGCTCATCCTGGATGGACTGCATTACACAGCCTACTTAAACAGGACTTTTCTTCCCATATTGCTCTAACAGCCCTGCAAAAATTGTTTAATAATCTCTAAGTCTCTGGCACTAAAAAAAACAAGAAAAAGAATGCAACAAACAAACAAGAGAAATCCCAAACCTGTTGCATTTGCTACAAGACAAGAAAGGTACATTAAAATTTAAATAAAATTGTAAGGGAACTAAATTTTAAATCTGCATTGCCCTCTAGGAGAAATGTAAACAGCAATCTCCTCTGATATATGCTGACTGCCCAAATGGAAAATAAAGACCCCATGACATGTTTAGAACAGGATAAACAACTTCCAGTTCTAGCTAAGAGCCTTTCTCTGTCTGCATAGAGAGACAGAGGCAATGAAAAGTCATTTATACATAGCTGAGACTGTAAGTCACAGGAGTTTCTGCACTGCTATTCACTATAAAGTTTATTCAGATAGTGAGGGGGAAAGAAGAAAGCAATTTCCATAGATTAAAAAAACCAAACCCCAACAAAATAAAAAAAAAAAATTAAAAAGCCATTAAAAACCCAAAACCAAACCAAACCAAACAAACCAAAACCAAAACCAACCCACCACCAAAAAACAAATCCCAAATCTTCATTTAGAAGGCTAAAAAACTCGGGAAATGGTCTTAATGTAAATCTCAGACAAATCTGCATTTTGCTGAAACAAGAACTTTGGGTCTGGGCCACATATGAAAGTAGCTCAGAGTTCCCCATTAGGTCAAGTTCTACTTAAGAAAAGAAACTAGGATGTCAAAAAACTTCAGAGTGAAAATTTAGTACATGGCTTACCACAGAGCAAAGAAGAAAGAAGTTGAAAGAAAAACAGACAGCATCATCTGTGATTCAAGTTGATCTTTCAGGAAACAAAGATCCTCATGGTAGTAAATATAATCCTTGAATTGTTTGCAAATGGGTTTAATCATCTAATTGCCATGTACAAGGAAGGAAAATCTATGCACTATCAGAATTCAGTACAGCTAATTACCAGAAGGCAAAATAAAGATTTTTATCAAACGGAGCGTGTGTTCTTCAGCTATTATATCTATCAATATTTATATATCTTACAGCCCTTTCTGGGTGGTTGCTGCATACATTTTCTGTGCAGTCAAGAAGCTTCTCGACTGCAAACGTGCTTTTAAAAAGAAACCTGGCCCGAACCCTGCATTTCCAATTCAAGCAGTGGATTCTGAAGCCTGTTAACTCCCTGGAGCAGCTGATAGCTAAAGACTTGTTTCCGCTTTTCTAACAATTTCCTGGTTTGCATAACAATCCTAAAAGAAACACACTCAAGAAGTTTTCCAGCACAGAGAGATTTTGTCTCCGACATAGCTCTAGTTTCAAGGCATAGAGAATATTTATATACAATTACCATAACTTTAGAGATATATTTGTCTACAAATATATTTACATATAAATATGTATCAGCTGCTTGTTTAAAACAAGATTATGATAATTTTGCCATATCCAGGAAATACAAAACACTGGCTTGTGCCTGGTGCTTAACTCATGCCATTGTGAATAAGGGGGGGCGGGGGGGAGGGAAGGGGTTTAATGTTTAATTTCCTGTTAAAAACACACACAGGATAAAATCTTCCAAAGAGCAGTTATAAAACATGCATTTGTTAGCCAAGAAACTAGGTAAATATGGAATGAAGCCCAGGATCACTTCTATTCCTTCACCCCCTCTCCAAAGAAGAAAGCAACCGAAGGCCACAGAGTGTGTTTGCAGGCACTGAGCTCTACTCAGGACTAGATAATTCATGAGCCTGGCTGATCCACAGAGCCTGCAGCCACTGGGGCAGTGGCTCAGAGTGTGCACAGCTGGGCTCCAGGCACTGCAGCACTGCATGTGCATGGCACACGTGCCCAAGAGCCATTGTCCCAACTACATTGTCCTGACACAGCGGGCTGGCTGAACAAGGAAAAGAGCCATTAGCATGTGACCAGCAGCTACCAACAGCCTGAGCATCCTGCTGCCTTTGGTAGTGGCTTTACAGACCACAGAGGGTATTTTTTCAGCATTTACAAGGGGAAATGTTATTGCCAGATGCCACCGAAATTTCACCTGCAGCAGTTCAGCCCTCACTATGGTTTTAATGTGTACCATGATGTATTAGGCTATTGTGCAGTTCACAGCCCACTACAACTCCCAGACAAGCACCAAGGTTCTGCATGAAATAGAACTATTACAGCCTTTAACAATCCCAGCTCTTTGCCAAGATGCCCAAATTGGACAAGAATATGGACTGCATTTTGGCAAAATAGAATCTTTATAACAGTTTTCAACAGTAACACTGCATTTTTGGCTCTCAGAATAAAAACAACCCACCAAGTGCTTTTTGTCTGCAGTGTTTGGGTCAAAGTCAACTCCTCGGTGTGCACCTTGCTCCATGGAGTTTGAGAAGCTGTGGTACTTCTTGGGTCCTGCTAGGATTCACATTCAAAATAAGATGTGAGCAGCTCTGTGAGTGGCTTCAGTTTACCTTTGTTTTTCAGATGAGGATAAATTTATTATTCCAGATGCAGCTCAAGTGTTTTCTTAGCTTTTGGGAGCATATTATTCAAATTAACACATCTTAAGCTTTTTAAGCAGATATCCCTAAATATCTTCTAGTCAAGGCATTTAGTTTCACATTTGATGCAAGAAAAGACAGACACAGATTTTGTATCTCTCTGGTGAATCAAATCTGATGGCAGGAATGCTGAATTTCTTGCTGACTCTTTGCAAAACTGGCTTTGAAACTATCAACAGTCCTGAGTTTATTTCTAAAAGTTGCACTTAACAGCTGTCATAAGTATTTGTCTTATCTTATGAAACCAACCACTGTTAAATACTAATTTAGTGACAGTTCACCAGTGAATCTCTTACTACTGCATGATTCCAAAACCTTCCTGTTTATTTTCACTTGTTGTAACTGGACTTTGTGCCCTGATCCCAGGGCTCTTCATGTGAAAAGACAATTGGCAAAAAACATTAGGAGAGAGAAAAGGAGTAGGGTGGAGGAACACTGTAATACAAAATGAGCCCTGACTTGCCTCCTCAGTACTGTACATACCCCCAAGCAATGAAATTTCAAGAAAATGATTTTGTTTCTGGCCAACAGTCAGAATACATAAGATGTTATTATACACCCTTTGCCTCACTGTATGTTGCTACTGCAGACTCCACACAAAAGGAAGACTTTTTTTTTTTTTTCATTGCTTTTTAGTGGTAAGGCAAGTTGACAAGTATTTACTGCTAGTTACAGCAAGGTATTAAAGATTCAAGTGAAGTAGTGGTATTCTCCAGTGCAGTGATGACCTGAGCCTTTAATCCAGATGAATTTAACTGTAAAGTGCATTAGCTCTTCTCATAAAAGATTTGCTTTAATTTTAGTTCTCTCTCCATTTATCTTATGGCTGTGTAATCTTCAGTAGAGGTCAAAGAGATTTCCCCAAAGAAACAGGAGCTGCTTCTTTTTTAGAGGAGAAAAGCATATTTAAGACAGTCCGTGCTACTTTTAACCAGAAGTCACAGGACAGTACTCCCTGCTGTCCTCTCTCTGTAGCTCTCCTTGCTGCTTTGCATGTTCCAAAGCAATTAAAGCAGCGTGCATGTGCATCCACACATGTATACAAATGAAACATGAAATGAAAACACCTCCTGGAGATAGGATACACAGCCCATCTGATGCAAGGACTGAAATTATTACTAACATCTTACCATCATCCAACTCCAGGCAGAGATTGTAAACAGCCAGAGGCCTCTTAATACGCTGTCCTTGTCTTCTTGACTGCCTTGGTGGGGCATTTGGAGGAGATACTGACATAGAGATTGGCTCAGGGAAAGAAGCATCAGGCAGGGTTTTGAAAATCTGCAATCAAGAACACAAAGGGTGTTAATTATTTATCATGACGAGCAACCTGTGCAATGCAACTGTAAACCATTATCAAACAACATTTGTTTTGGATTTCATTCAAAGCAGACAGGAGCCAAAAAATCCATTCCTTCAAGTTTGGGAGTATGCCGTGGGTTTTTAATGAGTGCTTTAAAAATAAATAAATAAATAAATAGATAAATAGAATATGGAAATAACCAATAGCACTGTCTACCCATTAACCAAGCTGCCAATCAGTTAATTCAAACACAAAACATTTGCAGCCACACTTACCAGCTAGGATGGAGGGGAAGGAGAAAATGAAAGATACTAACTTAGGAACCAGTAACCAAAATGCTTTATAGCTTTAGCTAGAACCTGTAATTTTTCCAGAATACGATTTTAATTTTCAAAGCTTGTGATATCATTATATCAGCCATTTTAATTAAAGAAACACCATACTCTTGAAGAAAGCAAGGGGAAAATTTTGTGGGCAGGGGTTTTTAATGAGAAATACCATAGTAACAAACCACGTGAGAATTTATTCTGTTAACTATTACATATTGAGACAATTTTATATTAAATACTGACATTCACAAAGATGCATATAAAAAGGACTGCATTTGCTGTCATCCTTTTATCTTTTGAGTCACGACCATCAGCATATCCCCACTCCACACAGAACACCACGTCATTTCTCTCTGAATTAACTAACAACATAGATTCACTGTACCTGATAGCACTTCAACTGTCACACAAAGGGGACAGTCCAACAGTGCTGATTTACTACTAGAAATTATCACTGTGCTGGCATGCAATTTGCCAGCAGCCTTCTACAAGTGATCATGGCATGAACAAATTGGCTTCATATGTATTTTAGCAAAGACAAAGCAGCAGATAAACAAAAACAGGAACTGTGTAAGAAAACTCCTGTGTTTGTACAGTACACCTCACAGCAATGCAACACAGTGATATAACAAGATGTAATGAAACAGTGTATGATGTTCCTGTGCTCTGCAACTTTATAATATTTACTACAAGGACAAGTGGCAGAGGACAGCTGTAATCAATATTTCAGGGGAAGCTTTTTATAAAATAGAAATTCATGCAGAAACTATAAAGGGACAACACAGATAACACATTTCTGGATAATAACAGCATGTGTCAGGTTCAGGATGACACTAAAAGTCAGACAGGTGAGAAATAATGCCATAAGCATCCTGTAGTAAGGCACTCAAAACACCATGTTAAAAGTACTAAAGACCCTAAATGCCATAATATCCTGGCCTGCTAACCCTGAATATTAATGTGTGGGAAGAAGATGACCGAAGATCCCAGGTATGCATTGACTTACAGACATGTAATCATCACTTTTGTACTGGCAGGTAAAAGACTGTGCTGGTACAAAATAATCAAGAAAGGACACATTCCACGAAAATAGTGAAGAAATTATCATATTCCCAAAACTGGGCAGCAGTGCATGTATGGTGTGCACAGAAAACCTTCAGTGGAAACATTACCTTCCTTTCCAGTAAGTGAATGTTGCCATGGGGGAGGTAAAACTGCTCTAATTTGAAGTTCCCCATCCCAGCATAAGGAAAACTGTCTCCCCCTCCTTCACATGCCTACAAACAAGGGACTACGAGAGAGCGCCAAAACAGCACCTCTCTAAAAACAAAATGTTTACAAAGAAGAGAGGAAGCTGTCCAACCTGGTTCTCCCCAGTACAGACACAGCAGCACTCTCAGGCAGTGACAAAGCTCTAGTTGTGCTCAGAGTTCTAAAGCCATTTTTTAAAACATGATGCAATATATAATAGTGAAATCTGATGTGCACCTCCATGGCACTTGGCTAACAGTACCACACTGCCCCCTTATGTGTAAATACAGGGCTAGATTGAGCAGGTTTAGGGATAAATATTTGCTTCTGAAAAATTCAAAGGTACCAAAACTTGAAATGCCATCTTTTCCATGGACTAAGCATTGCATTTGGGCTCCCTGGCAAACAACTCTCTGCCAAGAGGTTTCAGCATGTTGTTTGCTATGCCACATTCCACAGCTGTGTTTATTTCTACAGCCGTATCCACGGATCTCTGCTGAAATTAGTGATGGTGAGAAGAACAAGTATTTCCCAGGAGTACTTCATAAGAGATGAACTTTCTCGTATGCTTCTAGGTGGCTTGCACTGGTGGCAGTGAATTTCTTCCTTGGTTTTTACTTGTCTCTCACAAATATTGTAATATACTCTTTTAAAACTATTATCATGAGAAATTAGGAGTCACAAAGGCAAAAGACAAAAAGACTTTTTGCTCTTTAAAGCAGCTCATAGTTGTGTTCATCCCTACTTTGGTCTCTTTAGGTCTTTTTATTAGGAAAACAAAATCCAGCCCAGCCCTAACTAGACATTTTTCAGCAGCAGCAATCTCTTTCTGTTGCAGGCCAAAGCCTCAGCTCATACTACAGTTTTGCAAAGGAGAGCATCTGAAAAGCAAGCAGAACATCAACCTCTGCTTTCAGAAGTGCACATACAGCATTCAGCTATCTTTCTTGCTTTATTTTCACTTAGATAGACAAGTGTTCTTCATCCTGGCTTGGACATTTGTCTGCTGCACTGACAGAAGCACTGCTAGGTCTGCCTGAGAATGAGGGGATGGAGAGCTGCTTTATTTAAGCTGTGGGGAGAAAAGTTGGTTTTGGTTTTATTCAAATTTGCTTCTAATCTTATTAGCTATTTAAACATCACTGAAGATAAATGTTTCATGACTAATAAAAGATGCCAGCTCTGAGTGACCTGTTGTCAGACGCCCAATGCATGCACACAGAGGACTGAATTCAACATCACACATACACACACACAGTATGATGACCTGAAATGGCCCCAGCAGTGCTGTGTGCTGGCTGACTTGCACAAAGCAAGTCCTGGGACCACAGGTGAGCAAGTTTAGGAGTACTGTCCTGCACTACAAGCAGCTGCTATCAGATGCATGGCCAGGCAATCTGATATACAGTTGGAGGGAAACTCTCCCAAGGAAGAACAGATTGGAATTTGCTATTTAAGAGATTATTGTTTTGCTGCTCAAAAAACCACACCCTCTGAAGGTCAGATCTACCACTATCACTCATCTGGACTGCAGAAGTCACCACAGCTTAGACTAATTCCTGTAATAAAGACAAGAGTCAGGTGTGCTCATTGTATTACATCATTCTAGAAGAGATAAAAATATACTAAGCCAACCTCAAAGTTTAAAGACTTCACAGTCACGTCCAGTGTTAACATGGTTTTTGACACTGTGGTCAAACTGCATGAGATTTATAGACTGTCAGTTCTCTACAATTTAGTTCTCAAAAGCACTGGCATCCTCCTATTGACCTACCTGGGAGTAAACTCTGAAGCTAAATGTAACAATTTACACTTGGGAGAAGACTAATATACGTAGCACTCAAAATTTTAATCCAGCAACAAATCCCTCTGTTAGCCAGTCCCAGTTAGCCCACTGTTGTAAATGCTTCTTTAGGTCTGATCTTATATGAAAGCAAAATTTCAAAGTGCACACCGAATGAACCAGAGGATGAATCTCTGAGCCTGCAGCGTAAAAGTTACAACAAAAAAGATGAAACTCTGGTGGATCAATTTAAAACTCTGCTAAGTCTGACCTATTTCTCTCTCTATGTAGGAGCATAAAATGGATGCTTTACAAGCCTAAACAAACCACAAACCATCTTGGGCATACAGCACTAATAACAGCTCTGTCTAGAGCAGTGAGCCCAAGATCATCCCTACATAGAACCATTCCAATTCCTAAATCTGTGTCCCACAGTGTCTATGGCAGCATTTCTTCAGAGTAATGAGCCAAATTCAACATATTATCATACTGTATTCTACCAGCAGATCCACATGGCAGCAGCCCAAGCAATTTTGCCAGATTCCCCTAATCTGCAACAACAGTGTTGGACTCTAGACCCTGAGCTCTTACGAGAGCTGATTTTAGATACTGAAAAAACCCACAACTTGGGAGGATTTACCTTGGCTTATTCCACAAGTTTATGACTAGATGTATAGCTGTACATGGAAATGTAGATTAGATTCTGCTGCTACAAGAGAATACTGATCTGTTCGTTCTGGTCTCAAGCAGAACTAATTAATGAATTTCAGTATGTTTGCCAGGAATTACTTGAGGAAAAGACCCAGACATCAGGTCATCTCTGTCTGCTTTGTTTCACTGGGGTAATTAAAATTTCCTCTAAAAATCAGTGGGAAGCAAACAGCAAGGACAGAGCGGGATGAAAAAGAGCGGAGAAAAAACTAGAGGCTTAGTAATAGAATTAATGAAGATAAACTTATAAGAAATCAGTGAGATTTCTTATAAGAAAGCAGTCCCATGGTTTTGTTTCAAGAAAAAAACCCTATCAGTCTCATAACACCAAGCGCCCAGAACATGCATCTATATCCTTTGAATACACAAAGACAAACCAGAGCATCAGAAGTCACTGTGTAATACAAAGGAAGCTAGAACATTCAAGGTTATTCCAAATTCTTTGGAATTCCACTAGTGGAATTCATACATACATACATACATACATTCATATGTTGTGGAGAAGAGTATTGCTCATGACAAGAATAACATACGTTTCTATTTGGGCAATTTCCCTATGATACCAATTTGATTTGCCATTGTTAAATAAAAGATACAAACACAGACACTTCCACTAATGTTCATTGAATAATATAAAACATTATCTAGCTATGGCACATGCACTGCTCTCCCCTTACACATTTTATCCCTATGGTACTCCTTGCATTTCCATGACAACTGGCTATCATATATGCTGATCAAAGAATATTTTATACATTAGCAGTTAATGGGATAGTGCAAGAGGAGCTTATCACCATGGTCTTTCCTTGACTTAGCTCCTTTTCAATGTAAGGAAAGCCCAATTCACGTTAAACCCAGCAATCTGCACAAAACCGAAAATCATATATTTATATTACAGACAAAA